CAGACAAATCTGAAAAATTACTTTGAGCTCAACTAACTCTGTACATTAAGAGAGTGGGTTAAAAATTAGGCGCCAGTGACCCATTTCAACACTCGGTTGCGTTGGTCAGCGTCAAACGCAAGTTGCACGCGAAACTAGCCAATGAGAGAGCTTTAGTGCTTACTTCCAATTCAACGGTGACACTCAAGATTGAAAATAAAATTTGGGCCCTGAATGTCACAGCCTCGGCAATGTTGAGCAATTCGTCGTCTTTCGCACGAAGGAACGTAACTCCAATCCAAGGTTGCCAAATTGACTCCAACGATTAATTTATTTTACAAAAATGTAAGTGCGCAATTTTTTTCAAAATTTTTCTGATTTTTGCATGAAATCGGAGGAAAAATCAATGAAATTTTCAGTTGGAAATGTCCAAGATTTTTCTGGTTAAAATGCAATTTACGAAGGAAAATTTGGCAACATTGGAATTTAGTTACGTTTTTTCGTGAGGAAAACGACGAATTGAGCATCCCTTCTGTGGAGGAATGATTAGGTGCTAAAAAACATCGCACCTATCTCTTTAAAACTCAATCACTTCAATCGGAAGAAGCTGTCTCGAACTTTTGACATCTGTTATTTTGACTCGCCATATCCCAACTTGCCCTGCGGGCCGATTATTGAAATTGATAGACAAAGCTATAAACAAAGATGACAAAAGCGATATGGAGGGAACCTATTGGTGGAAGCCGGTGGTTACCTACAATAGACAAAGGCAGTAGGAATAGACTAACTAACGGCAACCCACGAGAAACCCGACAGTTAGTCTATCATTTTCTCCCTTAGTCTATAAGAACCACACATTTCAACCGATAGGATCGCTCCATACCCCCCATGTCTTCTTTGTCTATAGCTTTGTCTATCAATTTCAATAATCAGTCCGCTGAACGATTCCCGTTTACATGATTAAACAGAGACGCCACTAATTATAATTGTTTTTCGAGCAGCGTTAGGTTATCAGCGAAAACCACAGCTTTTCGAATTGTGCGAGTTGGGTTATCGGAAAAAACTCGGTTCTTGCCGGTTAGTGTATATGACGCGCGGTACAGACTATGAACTTGTCTATTCCTTTATTTTCGTTTCTTTATTTCAGTTTTATCAAAATGATGGGATCAGCATTCGATACCCACGAATAGGCTGGGACGGCCTTCATTCATCAACCAGATATGCTACCGTGCTAAGTAAAAACGCCACATGGGCATTCCAATCTTGCCAACTTTCCTATCAGAAAATATTTATTTTTGAGGAAAGATATGAATATTTTGTCTTGACATTTTCAGACTATGCACATCAAATTACGCTTCAAATCATCTGGAAAATCGGAAGAGAAATATTCACAATTTTCCCTGAAAATTCGTGATTTATCGATAAAAATTTGGCAACGCCTGACGGCTTATACGGCGTTCTTCCTTAGCACGACAGTATGTGCCTAAACCTCGGCGTCATCATCAGACGGGCAACGCTTTTCAATCACTATTTTTCTTTTTACTCCGTTTTTTCATCCAGTGGAATATTGATAGCTTGGCTACGAAAACACCCGTTTGAATGACCAAACTAATTTCTCACTACTCGAATGTTTTCTTTTACCTATGAGAAAAACTCAATGATATTCTCCTTCTCGAACCTCAAAGACTTTTATTTTTGCATTATCAAGGAAGTTTATTTTTGAGAATCTTCATTATTAAGTTTTCTTTTCTTCATCTTACAAAAGTGACCGCTTCGGTTCTCGCGCGGGGAAAAACTCTCTTCTGATACAACTTTTCGCCGTCGATAATTCTACTTGCCTTTTGAAGACTAAGAGCAGGCGAACTACATCAATTTTAAGTCCAAGAATCATTAATATTTAGCCATACTCGCAAATATTCAGGGTGTCTACTAAAACAGGTTGGTCAAAAATAAATACTTTCACAGTACTTTTTCAGTGCATTCTCGAGACTTTCAGTACCTCCTCTAACAGAAAAATTTCGTACTTTTTCAGAACCTCCATTTGACGGAATTTTAGAAAAACTTCAAAATTTTGAAATTGCGACAAAAATGACAAAAAATTTAAAAAAAAATCCGGACCTTCTTGCGTAATTTCCGCACTTTTTCAGTACTTCTGGACCGCCCTTAAGAAATTAGTACTATTTCCGGACTTTCCGGAAATTCCGGACATGTAAAGACCCTGAATTATTACGGCCACTGCGAGGCGATAGTATTTAAAAATTGGACAATATGGTCGATGTCATTAGACGGCAACTGAGACATGTAAAGCAGTCAGGGGAAGAAGGTATCTGACCTCGTGACACTAATTTCGAGACTTTAATTCGGTAGAAGAGACGGGCGGGGGAGACGGAAGGCACGGAGTAATTAAGATAAAATATGATTTCGCGCGAGACGCCATGAATAGGATGGGTAATGCCTAATTCTTGTCAAGACGTGCTGGAAATGAACATGAGAAGTAAGTTACAGAGTTGCGGGTGACAATAAAAGGAGCGATGATGAGTTCTGGTGCCCCGATCTCGCAAATGTTCGCACAAATGTTTCCGCAACTTGTTTCCTCCGTCATATGACCAGACGCTAAATGGGTAAACCAACTGAGATGACCGGCTCATTTTCCAAACTGATTGTTCCTTGACACTTCACAGGGGGAAAAAGTCTCTTGTATCTAGAGTCCGGACTCTTAAAAAATTTGACAAGAAAATATACACTTGATTCAAACAGATTTTCACTTGGATCTAGAGCCAACCTTTTAATGTCATCGGATTTCCTTTTGACCCAGGCAAAAATCCGATTAAATCAAGGGTGTTTTTTCATTGCCAAATGTTTGTAGAGTCGGAGCTCTGGATCCAAGAGACTTTTCCCCCTAGTTTTTATGACGTTTTTAGACTTAAAACTCCTTTTCTAGGTGTAGAATGCGGAGGCTTATCGTTTGTTGGTTTGCTTTTTTATTTTCAAATACAGAAATTGCTCTCATTCCTTGGTAAAAAAAAAGGTTCAGGGAATCTCTAGGTGTGAGTATCTGTGCTGGCGTCGAGAAGTCACTGAACCGGAACTGGCACGGCACTTATCGCGGAATTATTTTTGGGCCACCTCTAGTTGAATTGGTTTGTTTATTTGTGTATTTTTAAAACACAATCAGAGCAGATAAACCCGGGAAAAGCTTGGCCGAGGGCATGGCTGCGCTGATAAAAAGACGTCTGCAAAAAATTAGCACTGCGACCGCGTAAACATCCTGACAACGTTCTACAAACTAGAAACTGAGATGCGATCCAGGCCTTGGTCTCGGCTTTTTCAGTTTTCTTCATATTCTATTTTCCAGCGGCAGAAATTGACTATATTTTGAAATTAGGAACCATAAATTCTGACTCAGTGTAAAAACAACGTATGAACCATTAGTTTCCTTATGCACATACAGGGGCGGATTTTCCTACTTGCCGCCTGTATTTTGCCGCCCCCTTCTCATTCGTTTTGAAACATCAATAAAAACCATCAAGTGAACGTGCCAGCAGGGAAGGGGTGCATAAGACGCGTTTACTCGTGTTGAACACATTTTTTGGGAAAGCCCTGTCAACACCACTAGCAAAAAGTCACGGAACTTTGCGCGAAAGTCAAGTTTCGTAAACCTATCTCTAATGGACAAGGTCTTCCATTCATAAGAACTGAACGAAAAAATTATGAAAGAACAAACACAAAATTTGGTTTAATGATTTTAACTTCCGCCGCCGCGCCGACCGCACCGTGTTTGGCGCAATGCGTGAAGTATTCACGCAGTCTTATAGGCGCTATGCGTTCCACGCTGACCGCACTGTGTTTGGCGCAATGCGTGAAATATTCGTGCAGTCTTGTAGGCGCTAATATGTGTTACATGCCGATTGCCGCGCCGATGGCTTCTCCTATTCATCTCAAGTCCTCGTCATCGTTTCTCCCTAAGTCGCGCCTTCCAAGCGAAATTGAGTGTTTGGTTTCTCTCTTAACTCGACTAATTAAAGGTGCTGTCTCTTGTATCACTGAAAGACGACAAAATTAGAAATTACTAGACTCTCACAAAATTAGAGATTTTGTCGCCTTTTCTCGTTTGTAATTTTTTTTTTCTAAATCCGATTGTTTTTTTTACACCTACATTTAAAAAAAAAAATTGCAAAATTTGCCGCCCCCTATAGATTTGCCGCCATGGGCCGCGGCCCATGTGGCCACCCCCTTAATCCGGCCCTGTGCACATACGTGTTCTTTCGGATGAGCCAGAATTTATAGTTCCTAATTGCAAAATTAAGTCCAAATTAGAGTGCCTATACGGGAAAAGTACGGACATGTCGGTGATAGAAGGGTTAGGCCATAGAGCTCTTGTGGCCCGAAAGGGCAGCCAAACCTGTGAAATCAAACGCTCCAGAACAATATTTATTATTACAATCGTTGCGACTCGTCGTTTGTAAAGCACGTATTTGACTTAGTTTTTGCATATATTTACTCATTTTCGTGGGAGGGCGCTCATTTAAGTACATTCTGGGCAATCTTGGTTCACTATTGGAATCTGAAGATTGGCAGCGGCACACAGTGGATCGAGTCAATAGGAGAGGTCGGACAAAATTTGAAAACTTTAAACGCTTATAATGCCGTTTACACAAGTGTGTGAGGTTCTGAAAGTGGTTCCATCGGTTTTCTCGTGAAACTTTCTTCAGAAAGCGCCCCTTGAAAGTTCGAAAACGACGAATTAAACATTAAAATTTGCAGTTTTAGAAAAACATTTCACGTCCGACCTCTCTAATTGACTCGATCCACTGTGCGGCATTCTTCTAGATAAATGTTGGCTGCCCTTTTGGGCCCCAGAGGCTCCATATCTCAACTTTTCGGTAATTTTCCTATTAGTTTTGGCTTACATTGACCAAATCTTGGACTAAATCTTCGCATGTGATACGTTAGAAAAGTATAGCTTGCTATGCGATAGGGGCAGAGAAGGATTAGGAAAAATATGCAGAGAGGGATCTTACCTAATGATGAAATTGACGCAGACAACGCTGTTGGCTTGCTTCTGGCCTTTGTTGTTGTAACACAAGGACGCCTGGGTAAGAACCCAAACATAGCCGCCACCGTTGACGAGGAAACGGTACTGCTCAGTCTGAGACTGGCCTTTAGACAACACTGAAACACACGAAAATACATGAAAATAAATATCTGAAAATAAGGCAGGCCTGCGAGCTGATTATTGAAATTGATGGACAAAGCGATCCTATTATCTTAGTAGAGGTGGGTATTTGCGCTGAAAAAAGGAGCTGAATAATAGACTAACTGACGGCGACCCTATAGCAGATATAGTAAGGAGAGGTTTGGTACTCATTTGCTAGGGGAGGGAGAAAATTATGCATTCAGCTTGGAAAGACCATGGAGGCACTTAAAAAGGTCGTGGGGAACTGTAATGCAGGATCTGGCTCTATACCCATTGTGTTATTCATTTTCGCTTTTTCACTAAATGCGGACTAACTGAAATCACTTACTTTCAATAGTTACACAAGACAATAAAACATGCAAATGCGTTTGAACTTCATACTTTTTTTTTTTTTTTTTTTTTTTTTTTTTTTTTTTTTTTTTTTTTAATTAGAGAGCAGAATTTGAAGAGCTGAGCTCCCTCGCTAGCTTATGACTGAAAAAATTTAAATATGAATAGAAGAACACATCGCGAGGGAAACACCCAGCAAGGGCTCCATTCGAAGCAGTTGAAGTATTTAGACTCTGACATTTCTTATCATGAAGTGGAAAATCTACGCTGGAAAAACTGGAAGTTTTACCAAGATCACCCCAAGTCCTGTAGCGCTTAGAAAGAAAGTAATTTTCTGACGATAAACAGCTCTCGAGGTTTTGTGTACTCAGCTCCATTCGCGAGCCTAAAACACCCTTTTTTAACGGCGCACAGTGGATCGAGTCAATTAGAGAGGTCGGACATGACATTTTTTAATAAAACTGCAAATTTCGATGTTTATTCCGTCACTTTTTAAATTTCAAGGGGTGCGTCAGGAAGAAAATTTAACGAGGAAACCAATAAAACCACTTTTAGAACCTCAAAGTTTTGTAGAAGCAGAGTTATAAGCGTTTAAAATTTCCAAATTTTGTCCGACCTCTCTTATTGACTCGATCCACTGTGCGGCGTTCCGCTCTCCTTCATCATGCTCGCTCAGGAGAAACCCATTCCGCCGCGCAAAGGAAAAACGCCGTATGAGCCTTCAGGCGTTGCCAAATTTCATTTGACAAATCGCTCATTTTCAAGAAAATCTGCGAATATTTGTCTTCCAATTTCTCGGGTAATTTTGCTTGATCTGATCTAGATAGTCTAGAAATTATAAGGAAAAATATCGATGATTTTCCTCGGGAAAAAAAACGTTTTATAGGAGAAAATTTGGCAGTTCTCGAATGCTCATACGGCGTTTTCTCTTGGCACGGGAGCATTAGGCGTCAGCGGTTTGTTGAACTCCAGAACATCCCGCGTATTATGGGAGCGGTCCCCGTCCCCCACCGGTGGGTGGCCCGCGACGGGCTCTTGCTTGGTGGTGCGCGAAGGCTCGCCGGACTGAAAAAAAAATATCGGTGTATTTACTAAGAAAAGGGTAAAATTACCAAGAATTCAGGGTTCTATTTGATCCCAGTTTTTCTTGGTAAAATTACCATTTATGGAATTGGTAATTTTACCGTGAAATCTCGGTAAAATTATTGAACTTTATCGGTAATTTTACTGGACCTTGGTAAAAACGCCAATATTTTTTATCGACTATGGTAGAATTACCGAGATAAAATGGCAAAGTTACCGGCAATTGATTACCAATAAAAGTGGTATTCTTACCTAAAAAAAACAGTAAAAATACCAGTTTTTAGGTAAGTTTACAAGTCTGTCTTGGTAAAATTACCAATAATTGGTAAAAAAAGTGAGATGGTAAAGGTACCAACGGACCTTGGTAAAAACGCCGAGAATTTTTTTTCAGTGACGAAATTTTTTATCTTCCTCTTTCTAAGAATGCAACTATGAAAAATCGAATCGAAAAACAAAAGACAAAAAAATTGTTCATTGCAGTTGGTGGCCCGCTACCTCCGCTTTCGGCGGAAAGGTGGTCCGCGGCCCAGAAAGGTTGAGACCCGCAGTATCATTTAAAATATCGGAGTAGAACCCGAGGTGACTTTCACCCTAAAAAGCACCCAGACAACCCCCCGAAGAATGCAGAGCAGAATCTGCTTCCTTTGGGGAGTGTAAGTTGCTCTCACAGAGCGAAATCTCCTCTTTTTACCGAGTGACTTACACCCTTACGGGGTGGAATCTTCTCTATTCTGTAGAGTTTAAAACACTCTCGAGGTGCGCAAGTCAATTCGCTTTCGTATCACTCGGGTTGTTTGGGCGCTAAGTGGACTCTGAATTAAAATTAACCTCGAATTTCTTTCCGAAATTTTTGTATGTGAGCCCGTCAAAATGGGACTTCGATGCGACTGTTGAGGGTGCTCCAATCAAAACTAAATGGGCACCTCGACTTTTTGATTTACATAAATCGCGAACCTCAGTTCGCGAGTATCGAATAAATGTCTCCGGATATGTCTCCGGCAATTAGTCAAAACAGGCATTTTATCAAATGCCTAGCAAGATATTCAAATTTTGACAGTTTACAAAATTTCTTATTACGGTGAGGCTGCTCGAGAATTTTCAATATTTTTGAAAACGTACGAGTAACTCATCAAACCTACGAACTCCTCTTGTTTCTTCCTCTTGAAGCGAGTATTATATATTTAAGTGATAAAATTTTAAAAAATTCTGTGTGTTATGACATGCTGAAAATTTCAAGATATAAGCCCGTTCAGGAACTGATTAATCATTTAAAATATTACTGTAAGATGCATATTTTTAAAGAAAATTATTTCTAGCAAGAGCGATGAATTATTTGCCTAAAATTAGAAAAGGAATCAGAATTTCAGTCTAAGTAAGAACATTTGACTATATTTGTCGCAGCATTTGACAAAATGCATGATTTTACTATTTGCCAGTGACAGATTGATCAAAAAGTGCGGAGATGCCTCTTAATCTTGATTACCAATATACCCATCAGTCGCATGGCTGTCCCAATATGGGCCCATTTTGTCAAGGAGGCATGACTTGAGGCAAATCCTACGCAAAATCAAGACATTCGTTCTTCTAGTTTCAGAGTTCAACTCGCCTTTTCCGGCGGAAATTGGATCTAAGTTCACTATGGCGGATCCTTTGTTTCGAGGGATTGATATTTTTTCTCTGCCTTTTCGTACAGCTTGGCATGACTGAAGGAGGAAATTGATGAGCCTCTGGGAATACTCGTGGGATTAGGAGAGGCTTCTGGCGATGATCTGGCCTGTTTTAACACGAAGTCCTTTTGATCAAATTTTCGGCGGGAGGCAGCTAATGGGCATTTTGGTTCGCGCGCAAGGGCAACTTAAATGAAACGAGAAAATTAAAACTGGGCCTCATGCTGATAGCCCCTTCGTTGCCATACCAACTCTTATAGGAGCTCGAAGTTTTTCAGTAAGTTCAGGCTTGAATTCCAATTTCTCACTTCCGCGATGCTACAACATGCGACACGTCAATCCTAAAGTCAGACCTTAGGAAATATTTCAGTAAAAGTAGCTTTAAATGCAACTGATTTTAAATTTTCTTCCGACAATAATTTAACGTCCAGAAAAAAATAATTTGAGTGCGCATTGTGCAAACAGTCGTTTTTGTACTTAACATTGAGTTCCCTGCAGAATTGACACTATAAATCCCCCCCCCTCCCTCTTTTTATCCTTAACATGAAGCAACTTGGCGAGCTTCTATTGAACACTGTCCCAGTGGCGATTCTTGAAAGTTGGAAACACTGTTTTTCCTCCATTTAAATGTAAGTCAAACTATCGATTCTTGGTAAGTCGACTTGCCTCACCTGAAATCGATATTTTTAGTGGACTTCAATAGAGGAAGAGCAGAGGTGCCAACTTTCAAGAATTTCCACTGGGCTGTGCATATGACGTTGACAGAGTTTGCGGATAGTTGAACGACATTACTTGCTTACTAAGCGGGTCTCGACTGTATTGCCCCGTGACCGAAGCTTAAGTATTTGGAAATTAGTTTTCTTTAAAATTCGTCTGATCAAATTTATATGAACTCACTAAGTCAGCTAAAACAGCAAAATTTGTTATATTTAGCATTAAAGGAAGACTTATGAGAAAGTAGTAAGAGCGCATGATGGTTATGCGCATTATGATTGGACTGCTTTCTGCAATTAGAAACTAAAATTTCTGTCTTAGTTTAGAAATAACGAGACCGTTAGATTTCCTACGAACGTAAGTGTTTTTACCGCTGAGCCAGAAATTGTAGTTCCGCGTTGCAAAATGTAGTCCAATTAATTTTGTTTTACGAAAAACAGCAGTGCGGGTGACATTTTCCGATCGAAGAGCTGTACTTATTGAATAAAATTATGCCCTCCCTATATCCGTAAAGTGTGTGTTGTGTGTCCTAAACGCAACCTCGAAAGCATGCGAAGGATGATACGTACTTGCCTAACATGAAAATGGAAAAAACCCTTCTTTATATTAGTTGCAAATGAAATTCGTCCATTTTTGAACATACAGCCGATTTCTAAGAGACTTTCGGATGGTTCGTGGCACTTTCACAAAGAACGGGGGCCTCTTCGAAAAAAAAAAGTTCCATTAAGACGCTGCTAAGCCCATCCCATTATCTCAAAACTTAATGCTTTGGCCTTATTGTTCCATGAGAACCACAGAGCCCGTTGAAAATAGTGATTCGTAAAAGAGTTTATAATGCTTGCATGCATTGCTCTTATAAAAATTTGGGACGTCATGACGTCACGGCTATAGGTCTAGGCTATATAGGTCTATAGGCTATATATATAGGTCTAGGCTGAGTCTAGGCTATAGTCACGCGTGACTATAGCCTAGACTCGGATAATTTGATATAATCATCGACGGACAGCGAATAAGGTTCCTGGATGAATCTGGGTTCTTTGCAAACTGAGACCATAGTGTTGCACGATGCAAACCATATTAGAGGGTCTGAATCATGGCCATGGCGCATGATTCAAATCAGAATTTTTCGTGAAAAACTATTCACGCGACGAATGTGAATTTAAATAATACGTAAAGTGAGA